TGCAATTGCTCTATGAACCATGGAGCATTCAAGGCACTAACACAGGACAGGGGGAACTTAGGAGTCATCATTATCATATTAAGTGCTCTTATTCTATAATAAAACTAGACTCTTTGATTCTAACCCTCTGAAAAAAGGATTTTACACCTTTTTCTTCAGGTGCCTTACTTCGTACCTGTGCCTGACAGTGCACTCATGGAAAAACAGTAAGCCTACTTTTCAAGTTTCACTATTCTGAAGATGCTTTCTGTTGCTACTGAGAGAGAAACTACATATTATGTTAGTTTCTTTTTTCCCTGCTAAGCTCTCATTTAGTAGTTAAGATGACTTTATGTTGGTGGTATTGAACAGAATGAAGGACTAGCAAGTTTGAAAAGATGGCTCACTCACGTTTTGCCATCTGAGAAATAAAAGGTAGAGACCTCTTATGGAGAAACCAATTGGAAGAAGCAGCAATTTTCAACAATCAGAATTACCTAGCTCTTAGGTAAAAGAAAGGTGTAGTCGCATTCTAAAGTTCTGAAAATAGGCTCCCTCCCAGCAAAGTTTCAAGTAATTTGTTGAAGTAGTGGAAGGTTTCTAAATAAGCAGCTGAAAAGCTCTTCTGGCTAGCTATTATTGCTGTTCAAAAATGTAAATGCGGTAAACTAAAGTATGAACATATTAATTCATTATTATTATGGGCTTCATTAACATAACTTCAGTTTCCCGTAATATATATGGCATTAGCTAACAATTCAGTCAGGGTTAAATTCCACAGAAAGAAACCACAGTTTATATGCTATAGGGCTTTCAATAAACCAGCAAAAAAGGACCCACAAGCTCAAACACCTCAGGTAGGACATTTGCTGAACAAAATGACACCCTAATTTACCCTTGTTTAATTTTAGTTCAACATAGGATTTGGGAAGGCAAAGTGCCTATGATTGTTCATTACCAGTGAGGGAAAAGCTGTGCTGCATTTGTTGAAAGATCTGTTGCCTGGCGTGTTGATCAACCTCTGTTTCCTCACACTCAGTCTTGCTTTGCTGGGAAGGTGTGGTGAATGATGAGCCTTGTGGCTGAAGTAATGGTAGCCCACTTGGAAGCTGACTTTGCGAGTCCCTCCTTTCCTCCAGGCAGCCCACCTGCCTTTGCTCCCGTGTCTTCTTGATCAGGGTGACACGATCACGAATGGATTTAGCTACAGCTTTGGAGTCACTTTCATGGAAGAATCCTGACTTCACCTAGAAATCAACAAAAACAAAAGTTCAGGTAAAGTCACTTCTGTTAAATATCACTTTACTCTTTCAAAATTTATCCACCAATGTTTAGCAATTAAATTACTCTGTATTTGCACATCATTAGAGATCAGACCCCTTCATGGATCACTGCCTTGTCGTGGTGAAGGGGCTTGCGTAACTCAGTGAAGCCAT